GTGCTTATATGGAACTTGCCCCCAGGATCACACTCTGGGATCTGAGTCTTTTTCTCCTCTCCAGTTTGTATCGGATACCCCAAATCTACCACCCTTTCACCTGAAGTGCAACCATCTTTGGGTCTAAACAGCACTATGCCAGCAGCTTGTGTCAGAGGATGCTTCTCTCCCCAAGGTCCCAAGCTCTCCTCCCATTCCTAAGTACTCATCCATATGTTAGAGTTCCAAGGTCATGACACCAGCCCTATACACCAGGTCATCTTCCTAGGAGGTGGTAGGGCTATGGATAGAACCATCAGAGGAGTTCAGCCCATAGAAGAAAACCTATATGTGAGTTTTCAGGCCCATCCATAGGCAAATAGAAAGGCTTTCTCTGGCTGTCCTCATGGGAAGCCCCCCTCCCTGCACTCTTGACTCCAGGAGCTGGCCAGCGGGGACCTGCTTCTCCAGTAGAGACAACCGCGCACCAGCCCAGGAGGCAGGACTTGGGGGCTCTTGTCCTTCCTTGCTGCCTCACTTGGGCAAGCCCCTTGCCTGTCTGAGCTTCAGGGTTCACCTGCCACATGCAGAGATGGGCCTGGATGATCTCAAAGGGGCAGTCACAGCTGACTCTGTGACTCTGAAGTTTCCTCTTCTGGGCATGTGGCCCTTTCTTCTTACCACAGGTTTCCTGTCTCAGCTTCCTCTGCCCTCTCACAGTTGTGGCTTTCTCTTCTCTCTCAGAGGGACCCCAGAAGGCGGACCGTCCCAGGGCAAGAGGAGATAATGCCACTGCAGCTGCTGCTGCTGCTGCCTGTGCTATGGGGAGGTGAGTGGTTGAGGGGAGAGGGGACCCCACTCTGGGGAGGCACCAGAACTCCAGGCTGAGTTTCTCCCTCTCACCAGTGCCCACAGCTCAGGATCAGAGGTACCGGCTGGAACTACAGGAGTCCGTGACAGTGCAGGAGGGCCTGTGTGTCCTCGTGCCCTGCAAATTTTCCTATCCCAGGACCACCTTTGTAATCCTCCACGTGTTCTGGTTCCGGAAAGGGGCGGATAGAAACCGTGATAATCCAGTGGCCACAAACAAAAGAGAACAGAAGCTGCATGAGAGCACCCAGGGCAGGTTCTTCCTCCTCGGAGACCCCCAGGCCCACAACTGCTCCCTGAGCATCAGAGATGTCAACATGGGGGACAGTGGGACTTACTTCTTTCACATGGAGGATGCCTTGAGGAAACACTCATATCTAGATAAGACGCTCTCTCTGCATGTGACAGGTATGGTGGGGGCCCAGGTAAAGGCCCCAAAGTGTGGGGCACTGGAAATAGAAAAATGAAGGTTCCATTCCTCCTGAGGGTGGGGTGGCTTGGGGACAGTGATGACAAGACTCTGTGGTAGGCCGAAATCACACCAAGAGGCCCCAACCTCCTCTCTCTCTTCAGCAGCCCTGACCCGCAGGCCCAACATCCTTAGTTCAGGGCCCCTGGAGTCTGGCCGCCCCGGGAACCTGACCTGCTCTGTGTTCTGGGCCTGTGAGCAGGGCACACCCCCCATCTTCTCCTGGACATCAGTTGCCCTCACCTCCCTGGGCCCCAGGACCCACCTCTCCTCAGTGCTCACCTTCACCCCATGGCCCCAGGACTATGGCACTAACCTCACTTGTCGAGTGACCTTCCCCAGAGCTGGAGTGAACACAGAGAGGACCATTCAACTCAACGTGTCCTGTGAGTGCCAGGCCAGGACAGCCAGGTCCCTGAGGGCAGTGGATGTAGGGGAGGTTGGGGGAGGGCTGGGATACTGGGTGTTGGGTCCTACGAGCTGGTTCTGGGGAGGGAGGAAGGAAAGTGCACACGAGACTCCACCCCCTCTTATTGCTAAAGTTTCCCGAGGGAAAAGAGCCAACACCCACCTTCCTGCCACTGAAAAGGGAACAATTATGTCTGTCTGTCCAGATGCACCCCAGAACCTGACCATCAGTGTGTTCCGGAAAGAAGGCACAGGTAGGGCCCAACATCTCCTCTCCAGGGGGGTGTGGTGGACCTTTCT